AAAGCACATAGTGATTGTAGTGGTTATGTCAAGTTGTCATAACTTATGATGACCCTATGAATGAAACCCTTTTCATGACAGCCCTGCTCAGCTCTTGTAAATTCAAGGCTGTGCTTCCTATATGGAGTCAATCCATTAATTGTATTTATTGACCATTATCTTTGGGTCCAACCATCTCAGGGAAACATTGAAGAGAACCACTGTACAAAACAGACACAATTAAACCAGGAAACAAAGATGGCTTCTTTTTTTAAGTACTTCTGTCTGTCACTACCACCACCTGAACTCTCCCAGTTAGTTCCCTGAGTAGGGGGCAGGACTCAGACTTTAAGGAACTAGTTAGATTTTTTCCCTTGAATCCCCAAGATCCAGCAGCCACGAGCCAAATGAATAACAGTGGCTTAGGGGTAGTAGTGTGGCTGAGGTTTACAGAATCATAGCTCTAGCACTTTTTGATTTGCAAGAACACTCTCATGATCTGTCACCCTCTGCAAGCTTCCCTGTGCCCTCTGAGCTTAGCTGCAGTCTTAATAGCAGCTCTCTGTGAGTTGAGCGGGGGTGGGGGGGCAATGAATTTTCCAAACAATATATTATTCTCTGTTGAAACTCAAAGTATTTTAGGGTTGCTTGGTCTTCAGTGGCAATTTATGTTTAAAAAGACCTGCTGCTGGCAGAGATGAAAATAGCTAAAACTGGGTGGTTGATTGGGAGTAACACAGCTGCCTGCACTTTTTGTACTGTCCTTAAAGGACATGGCTGTGGGCATTATCATGATGATCTCCTACATTTCAAAAAGTACCAGAATGTCATTGAATAGGGGCCAGAAATACACTTAGAAGGATCCTTCTGAGCATACATATATTCAGCCTAGGGATTTGTTTTCAATATCAGAACTGAGTCTTCAAATAGCCGACATTTTCAGTGGCCTCATTTGGTTTGAGAGGAGACATTTTATTTCATTCTTTTAAAACCAGGGATGGGTGACTTTTCTGGCTAGTGAGCACGTTAGCAACTTGACAATCTGTCATGGTTACCATCTCAAAATGGCTCCTATGGAAGGTGTGGCAAAGGATAAGCAACCTTCCCAAAAGGCTGAGTACAAGGCCAGGGGAAGATCTGATCCCCAGCACACTAAACAACTGCCTTAAACCAGCAGTTTGCAGTATCAGAAGGAACCAATTTCACTGCAGTCACAGCTGCCAGTAAGCAAGTGTGTTAATTGCTTTAATGTTGGGACACTTGAAGGGTGCATCATTCCCATACTGACTGGGAATGTCAGAACTTGCAGTCCAACATAACCACAGTGAACCAGGTTGGGTAAGACTAGTCTTAAGACAGTTGATGACATTCAAATGATGGGATGATTGCAAAAGTAACAAATGAAGCTGGAAATGAGGGTAGTACTCCCTATAAGTAACAGAACTTTACTTATATTGTGACAAACTCTCACAAAACAACTACAAACAGCTCTCTTATAATCCTGCATGAACCACAAAATTAAATCATGCAGCACTACTCTTTAGGTTTTCAGTTTTCTGAAAAATTTTGTATAATTATGAGAACTTAAAACCTTTTAGACTAACAAAATCAGTTCAACAATTGTGTAATGGATGACGCCTTGTGAGGATTTGTAATCCTGTTCTTGGCTCTTTCTTAAGCAAACTGCTGTCTTGAGACTATTTGCAGTTTGTTTGAAGTACAGTCAAATAATTGTCTGAAGTAATACACATTAACACGATTTTCATACTAGTTTGCATATGTTGCTTTTCTTCAATTTGTCTGCCACTGTGCTTTAAACAGTGAGTGCTGTTTAGTGAGTTGAGTGAAGAAAGTGGGATTCTTCATCTGCCACATCAGACAACCTGGCAATAAGCCAGAGTAGGTTGGCTGTTGGGCAAACAACTCATGGGAACCCTACAGGATGATTGGGCTTATAATGGGTTGTTGGCCTTTCCTCCCTCCTCTGTCTCCTTGATCCACAGAGAGCTATCCTAGGGGACATTGCAGACGCTGAGTCTTGTCTGCCTTCATCATAGTGATCACAAGCTGCTTTGTGCGCACAGTGGATTTTTGTGCTTCAATCTTTTTTTCTTTGAGATCGCAAGAGTCAGCTTTTATGATCCCTCTTCAAAGTGCCCCCAAGGCACATTGGAAGATTATTTTTAAAATTTTGCCTGTACTTGCCTAATTGTACAAGTGGTGTGGATACTGGAATTGGGAGTCTTGAGTAGGCAATATTTGGAGGGGACTTTGCAAAATCTTGCAGGTACATATACTGTAAGTTTATTTTCCCCTTTGGCTACATGTGACAGCAGTGGAAATGCAAGTTGTCAAATGTAACAAAAGTGTTCCTAACTTTCAAAAATGGGCTGATGCATCATTCACTCCCATTGCATCAGGAACTTGGAGGACAGTTTGGGGGAGTCATGTGTCCTAAAGGTGACCTCACTTCTGTACTTGTTCTTTATCTAACACTTGCCTTTTTCTGGCAGGAAACATGCCTGGCATTTTTAAAAATCTCTTTCAGATTCTGACTTTAAAAATACAATTTTACTTTTGACAGCTGTGAAAAGAAACATCTTCCTTCAGTGGGTGGCTCTTGCTTTGCATGATTGTTGAGGCTGATTCTGTCAGTAACTCTCCAGGAAGGGGGTTTTCCAGACCTACTTGGATACACTGGGGACTTTCTGCCTGCAAAGCCAGTGTTTTACCCCCGCACTATGCCCCCTCCCCAACTATTTATCACTTGCAACAATATATATCAACTGGCTGGCATGGCTATTATTATTATTATTATTATTATTATTATTATTATTATAACATTTCTATGCCGCCCCTTGCCGAAGCCTCGGGGCGGCTTACAACACAATAAAATACATTGAAATACAATAGAACATAATAAATTACCATTAAATACAAAAATACAAAAAATATACTGAGTTACAAACATAATAATATAAAATTAAAATTATCAGTATAAAATAAGTAAATAAATAGTATAGGAGGAGAAAAGAGAAGGAAGAAGAAGTTGCCCTGGCCAGATCATATGTTTTAACAATTAAAATGGTGTTTAAATAAAATGGTCTTTACCTGGCACCGAAAAACCAGTAACGACGGTGCCAGGCGGACCTCTTTGGGGAGTGAATTCCATAGGTTGAGCACCACCTCAGAGAAAGCCCTCCTCCGAGTACTTACTCTCCTAATTTCTTTCATGGAGGGTTCCCGGAGAAGGGACTCTCCCGTAGATCTCAAAGGGCGGTCGGGCATATACGGACGTAAGCGCTCGTTCAGGTAGCCAGGACCCAAGCCGTTTAGGGCTTTATAGGTCATAATCAACACCTTGAATTGGGCCCGGGCTTCAATGGGCAGCCAGTGAAGCTGACGGAGGACTGGAGTCATGTGAGCATAACGCCCCGTCCCCGTCAGCAACCTGGCAGCTCTATTTTGCACCAATTGAAGTGTTCGGACCGTCTTCAGGGGAAGCCCCACGTAAAGCACGTTACAGAAGTCTAGGCGGGAAGTCACCAGGGCGTGTGTCACCGTCGCCAGGCAGTCGTATTCCAGGTAGGGGCGCAGCTGATTAATCAGCCGAAGCTGAAGGAAGGCGTTCCTCGCCACCGCTGTCACCTGAGCTTCCAAAGAAAGCTCCGGGTCGAGGAGTACTCCTAAGCTGCGGACCTTATCCCTAAGAGGGAGTGTTGCACCATTCAGGACCAGGTCAAATCTGCCCTCTCTGAAGCCCGATCCGCCAACCAACAGGACCTCCGTCTTGTCTGGGTTGAGTTTCAGTTTATTGGCCCTCATCCATTCCATTACCTCGGCCAAGCACCGGTTCAGCACAGCCACTGCCTCACCTGGATTAGTGGAAAACGAGAGGTAGAGCTGGGTATCATCAGCGTATTGATGATTCCGCAGCCCACACCTCCGGATGACCTCTCCCAGCGGTTTCATATAGATGTTAAATAGCAGAGGGGATAGAATAGAGCCCTGTGGTACTCCATGGCATAGCTGCCATGACGCAGAGACATGGTCCCCCAGCACTACCTTCTGGAATCAACCGTTGAGATAGGAGCGGAACCACTGCAAAGCAGTGCCTCCAACCCCCAATCCCGCTAGCCTATCCAGAAGGATACCATGGTCGATGGTATCGAAAGCCGCTGAGAGGTCCAGAAGAACCAACAGGGATGCACTCCCCCTGTCCTTCTCCCTGCACAGATCATCGTACAGGGCGACCAAGGCAGATTCAGTACTGTACCTGGGTCTGAAGCCGGACTGAAAAGGATCCAGATAATCAATTTCATCCAAGAGTGCTTGGAGTTGTCCCGCCACCACTCGCTCCAACACCTTGCCCAGAAACGGGATGTTGGCCACAGGTCTATAGTTAGTGGTCATCTCTGGATCCAGTGACGCTTTCTTCAGGACCGGTCGTATTACCGCCTCCTTTAAAGGGGCAGGCACTCGACCCTCCCTCAGAGAAGCATTAACCACTTCCAAAATCCAGGTCCCAATCCTGTGCTTGGAGCTATTTATAGTATTAAGTATTAAGTAAAGGATAGTATTAGTATTAAGTAAAGGATCCAGCTCTACATGCTGACCCAAGATGTCCAATTTCCCATTTTTCTGTGCTTGCTCTCTCCTCCTTGTCCTCAGGACAGGAAGACTCAAATAGCAGCCTTTGCTATAAATCTATTATTCAATCATATATTGTCTTGGCTGTTCCCTGAGGGTGCCTGAAGACAAAGACTTTGAAGCTTGAAACAATTTGCATTCTGTTGCACCATCTTCAGATGGCCCAGCAAAATACTGTTGAGATATACTGTGTGTGTGCGTGCATGCGCGGGAGGGATGCTGAGAGTCTCAAACTCCTGTGGGTTGGGAAAGGACAGCAGTGATTCACCATTTGTGATATTGCTCTCCCAATTTCCGTTGTCATTGCTTCACATCATTAAAATTTCATCCTGTTGGTTTTTTAACCCATTATATTTTTGTTTTCTCTGCAGCTAAACAAGCAAAGCGGTCTCAGGACAGAGAGAATCTTGGTATGCTTGTCTGGTCACCCAACCAGAATATTTCTGAAGCAAAGTGTAAGTCATTTGATTTTTGCTTTCCTTCCTTTTATTAAAAAGAAAATGGAGATGCTGTCCTACCAGGAAGAGGCTATAGCTATAACCTACTCCACTTTTTGTTGTTTCTTTCAGGGAGTCTGAATGTAGCACAATAGACTCTCCTATAAGGCTTCCTGGAAAATTTCCCAAAATAGTGTATCTGATGTAGTGAGAATAGTGAGGAAAACAGGAAGTTGCCTGACACTAAGTTAGGCCATGGGTCCAAGGAGCCCGTGCCAGTGAGTGAATCCGGCACCTTCCGCTTACACAACATATGTGCTCTGCTGCTGATCTGCAACCTGTCATGCACTTACCTTCCTCATTACAGATCCTAGTCCCAAATTACATATAGAAACTTCTGATATTTTCTAGTGTTTATAAGAAGTTAGGTTATAAACCAGTTGAAATTATGATGGAATATGCTCTGGTTGAACTGGAGAAAGGAAGGAAGAAATTATGACAGCTCAGTAGTTCTACCACCCTGACCCCCAAAATATGAGTAGATTCATTGCTAAGAATATTTGATTTGAAAAGTAACTAGTCAGAGGTAAGTATTGCTGAATCTTCATCAACTTATTCTAGGTTGCAGTCATATACCCACTTACCTGGGCATAAGCCCCTTTGAACTCAGTGGGTTTACTTCTGAGTAGACATGAATAGGACTGTACTTTCAGAATGCAATCTTAAGTACAAGGCTGATTGAACTGAGTAGACATGCATAAGATTGCTCCGCTAAAATCACAGTACAGTTCTCCTTTTATTAAAAAAAAAGAAGTCATTACAAAGGTACCTCGGCTCACAAACACCTCAGTTCGTGAACAGAAATTTAGGGGAAAATTTTCTTCAGGTCGTGAACTCTGCATTGGGTGACAGTCACGATCCTGCTCGTCTTCCCTGCACGGGCGCGATTGCGGTCATGCTCGGGGCGGGGGGAGATGGCCCCGATCGTGCCTATCTCCCTCCCCGAGCGCACCCATGATCGCACCCGCGATTGTGCCCATCTTCCCTGTGATTAAAAAAGTATTTACAGAATGAATTAACCTTATTTACATTGAACCTCATGGGGAAATTTGACTTGGTGCACAACCAGAGTTGTGAAACGGATTAAGTTCATGAGCCAAGGTATCACTGTATTTCAGAGTTTAGGCTAACAGAAATGAGAAAAATAAGCAGAGAAAGAAAAGCAAACACTTGATGATGATTATGATGATCATGCAAATTTCTACTAATCACAAAATAATATCCAGGCTTCCACCTTGAAAGCCCCCCCCCCCATATAAATTGGTAAAAATATTCTGATTCTTTGAAAAGTGGGTAATTTGCACTTCTAATAGCTGCTTATAAAGGTGCAGTAATGACTCAAATCTGCACAATTCATTCTAAAACAAACACAAATATACTGGCTTGAAATGCATACTTTTAAAAAGAAGGGTATTTACTACTTGTGTCCTGCAAATACCTTTTAAGTATCTGCTTTGTGAAGCAAACTTTGGGAGAGGTTTTTGCAGCAGTCTGTTGAAGAGTCAAAAATCAGTACTGATATCACTGAAGTATTACAAATGATGATATTTAGCTTTCATAAGGTGAGGTATGAACAAGTCTGTTCTTTACAGTCCTTTATTATTTATTTACTAGACTTTTATTCCACCCCATTAATCATAAAGCACGCTTGGTGGCTTAGCAATTTCACTATTCCGTGTAACAGGCAAATCATAAGGTTTTAATTTATGATTTCATCTGACATAGGAAACTATGGTTACCAGCTTTAGAAAAAAAAAACCAGGATATCAAACCATGTTTGTTTGTTTCTTTTTTATACCACCCAATAGCTGAGGTTCTTTCATGCACCAACTTCAAATCATGATTTAATAACCTAGCTTACTTGGAAGCTGGTAAAGACCTCAGTAAAATGGAGACCATAGTTGAAAGCAAGGTAAGTTGTGTTGGTCCGTGAGAAAATGAAACCAGCATTGCTGTGTCATTCAGTACCAACAAATAATTTATTAAATTGGTTCTAAACTTCTGAGATTGCCAGATATCTTCAAAATGTCTGACTTGATACTGGTGATGAAGCCCTGCATGTTTAGAGGCCTAAGACAAACAATATATTAGGCTCTACAGCTTGTTATCTATGTTTCAGGATATGTCAGGCCATGTTCAGGGAATGGGACAAGGAAATATGCAGTGGCTGATTCTCCCTTATTTGAAGATATAAAATTCAATTCCTACTCAGGCTTCTCTCTGGCCTTAATGAGAACATGAAGGTTTCTCGAAATACTTGTTGTGGTTCACTTTGTGAAGGGGTTGCCTGTGCAGGCAAGAGAGACAGCCATCTGAACCATGGCTTATATACAGTGTGAGGCTTACTTAGAGTATGCCCATTACTTGGGTACAGACAACCCATTGTGGCTCATTCTGGGTTATTTAACCCTATGGTGTGCTGCAGCCCTTATGGGCATCAGATTGCATGTGCAAGTCTGTGTCACAGTTGTTTCATGTGAACCTGGCAAGCAGGGGATATGTGTGTGTTAAAACATTGCTAGCACAATCCTAAAACAGACAATGATTGTTTAACTATTGCATAATACATTTTATTTTATTTATTTATTTAAAATATTTCTATGCCGGCCCCATCGCAACAAAGCCTCGGGGTGGCTCACAAAGAAAACATAAAAACATACATAAATAATAATAATATAACAATTAAAAAAACGTTTAAAAAACCCCCAGTGCATTCTCAGCTAAAAATTTTAAAATCCTAATTAATTCAATAATTTAACAATTAAAATAAGTTTTAAATAAAAAGGTCTTAGCCTGGCGCCGAAAAACAAATAACGACAGTGCCAGGTGGACCTCTCTGGGGAGCGCATTCCATAGATGGGGCGCCACCCCAGAGAAAGCCCTCCTCCGGGTACTCACCATCCTAATATCATTCACAGAGGGTTCCCGGAGAAGGGCATCCGTTGCTGATCTCAAGGGGCGGGAGGGCATATATGGGCCCTCATTTTCCCATGAGGGCCCATGAGAAAACCCATTTTCCATGGGTTTATATAACATATGACCACTGAATGAGTGCATACTTAAAATGATGTACATGCTGCAGCCTCACCGTGAGTTATTTATCCCATCTTGTGTGTCTGTTATGTTAAGAGCTCCACTGAAGAAATGGGATCAGCTAAAAGTGGATCACCTCTTTGTCCTCACTTGTCTCTTTCCTGCCACTTTTTTCCTCCTCCTTTTTCTCTCTGGCCTGGTTTGCATGTAACACTATCTACACTAACTCATCAAAAGTGTCTATTTAAACCATCGTTTCTTGCCTGCCTATGGTTTAGTTAGCAGATTACTGAACAATAAATGTGGTTTGTTTTCTCATTCCCTGGGTTGTTTGTTTTCTTCTACCTTTACCTGCTCCCTCATGGGATCCCAGCTGCCTTCATAGCATTGCAGTATTGATATGTAAATGTTTTTTTTCTCACTGTCCTTGCCTGCTGCATCTGTTGTTTAGTGAAAAGACCCACGAGCAACCTGTGATTTTGTTTTTGCACTGTGAAGGAGTCAGGCAATAGTTAACACTCTATAAAAAAAGTTTTGCAAAACTTATATAAAAATACGGATGCTGAGGGATGCTGTAGCATTCTTTCCAGTGATCTCTTACTTTATTTTCAGCATGTTTAGTACAGAGAACCATGTTGGAAGCCCACGCTGTGAGGGCTGCTGTTAGCTTCCTGAAAGGATTATTCAGAGCATCCCAATTCTCAGGTTTAGAATTGGAAACATTTAATGAGCAGCCATGGCTGCTGGATGATTTTATGTGCTTTCTGTGAATCCATTTACATAGCATCCAATTGAGTTAGGTGTTTTAAATCTGTCAGGTTAGAAATCTTGCTGTGAAGGTTTACGATCAGCCACATTTAGTTAGGATTGTAGGTCAGCAAACTGAGTGCACCTGCAGCAGTAGTTTATGTTATCCTCAGAGTGGCCCAAAATAATAATGGCACATATGACCAGAAAGTGTGTGTGTGTGTGTATGGTAAGTTTACATTTTTGGAATGTATAACTTTGGACTTTCTGTTCCCTTATTAAACCTTTTCTTTGTAACCATGACAGATAGAAATATTATCTTTGAAAGGTAGCTAAGCCTGCAGTTCTGTATACACTTAAAGGATTAAATCCCATTGAATTCAGTGGCACTAAATTCTGAGTGGACATGCATAGTAATTTGCTAAATGGCTCTTAATTTAAGAATGGTTTAAAAATTTGTGGGTTGACAATCTTCCTCTTGCATGGTTCCTTCCCTTTATATATCTTCTGTAGGACAATTTTTATGACATCTTGTGAAATTTTACATCAGCAAATTAGCATATGTGCTAATTTGAGTAGCTCAGAATTAGGATAAACTAATGTTCTAAAAATGTGTTGTCATAGTCAACTTTGCTAAGTCAAGAACAGGACTGTTTGTACTGCCTTAAATATAACTAAGCTAAAACAAAATAAATACATAAGAATAAAGGTTGTCTGAGGTAATGTAAAACAAAATGGAAGTAGGAATCAGGGCCAAGGCCTGTCTTAAAAATCCTCCAAAGAGCAGTAGAGAAGCAAAGACCAAAAATGAGCAAAAGCTTATATGACAAAGTGGACTAGTCCACTGGGCCTCATCAAGTGTGGAAGGTACATCCTTCTTGATATTTGGAAGAAAATTAGTTCTTTGGTTCCAGCCCAGCAAATATTGGAGGCTACTGTACTAAGGGCGTTCCTTTTTGTGGTCGTTCTCATTTTTAATCTATCGCTTTCCATACTTAATTCATACAAGCCTCTGAAATCAGGTATACAAGTATCCAAGGCATGGGGTGAGGCATGGCAGCAAATTCTGCTGTCTCAGTCTTCACACTCTGCATTTCATCTAGACCAGGGGTCGGCAACCCGCGACTCCGGAGCCCCACATGGCTCTTGAACCCCTCTGCTGCGGCTCCCTCTGTCGC